CTTCATGATGGTGAGCGGACCCGGGTAAAACTACGTGGCCGGGAGTTAGAGCCATTCCCTGTACACCTTGGGGTGCGACAGGGATGTCCTCTGGCTCCCACATTATTTAACATCTATTTTGACCACGTAGTTCGTGAAGCCTTCAATAGCTGTACCGGGGGAATCTCCATTTGGTACAGCTATAATGGGAGGCTGATCGATGCCCGGGTGCGATCAAGGGATGGCTCCCTATTGCTCAACCACTTTGCATGCTGATGATTTGGTAATAGCTGCTCAGTCAGAGGAGGAGTTGGAGACGCTGCTGCTGAGACTGGAGCGTGCCACTAGAGGTGGGGCCTTACCATCAGCCCCACCAAACTAAGCACTGCCTGGGTATTTTGTACCATCAGACACCCGCCCCCACTACTCCCAATCGGTGATGGGGCAGTTGTGGAGAGAGTGGAGAGTTTCCCATACCTGGGCAGAGTGCTTATGACCGGCTCAGTTTAACAGCAGAGGTCTCCGAATCAGTCGAGCGGCAATATCTTTTCATCGGTTGCGTAACGCTGTGTGGAAGCTACCTGGTCTGTCGCTCCGCACTAAGCTTCGGGTCTTCTCGGCCACGGTCATTCCTCCCTTCTCTACGCTTGCGAAACGTGGACCCCCTTAATGGAACATCTTCGCCTGGTTAGAAACATTCAGGCTGGCCTGCCTACGATCCATCCTGGGTTTTACCAGCTGGATTGTGTGAGGAGCTCACAAATCCTTGAAAGATCGGGCACGGTCCCATCGTGAGCTCCTCCGGCGGGCAAGGCTGCGTTGGCTGGGTCATGTAGCCCGCATGCCAGCCACCGCATGCCGAAACAGCTTTTGTTCGGCCGGATCGAGGGGGCTAAGCGGGCGCGGCACGGGCTAGAGAAGAGATGGAGTGATGTGGTACAGGAGGACGTGGAGCTGAATGGCTTGCTGATGACTGGTACTTGTACTGACACCACTACTACTACTGACACTACTACTACTGACACTATTACTACTGACACTACTACTACTGACACTACTACTACTGACACTACTACTACTACTGACACCACTACTACTGACACTACTACTGCTACTGACACTACTACTACTGACACTACTACCACTACTACTGCACTACTACTACTACTGACACTACTACTACTGACACTACTACTACTGACACTACCACTACTACTACTACTGACACTACTACTACTACTACTGACACTACTACTACTGACACCACCACTACTGACACCACCACCACTACTACTACTAACACCACCACCACCACTACTACTGACACTACTACTACTGACACTACTACTACTGACACTACTACTACTACTGACACTACTACCACTGACACTACTACTACTGACACTACTACTACTGACACTACTACTACTACTGACACCACTACTACTACTAATACTACTGACACTACTACTACTGACACTACTACTACTGACACTACCACTACTACTACTGACACCACTACTACTACTGACACCACTACTACTACTAATACTACTGACACTACTAACACTGACACTAATACTACTGACACTACTATCACTGACACTACTGCTACTGACACTACTACTACTGACACTACTACCACTACTACTGATACTACTACTATGACACTACTACTACTTACACCACCACTACTACTAACACTGCTACTACTGACACTACTGACACTACTACTACTGACACTACTACTACTGACACTGCTACTACTGACACTACCACTACTGACACTACTGACACTGCTACTACTGACACTACTACTACTGACACTACTACTACTGACACCACTACTACTACTGACACTACTACTACTACTGACACTACTACTACTGACACTACTACTACTACTGACACCACTACTACTTCTACTAACACTACTGACACTACTACTGACACTACTACTACTGACACTACTACTGACACCACCACTACTACTGACACCACTACTACTACTAGTGACCACTACTACTACTGACACTACTACTACTGACACTACTACTACTGACACTACTACTGACACTACTACTACTACTGACACTACTACTACTGACACTACTACTACTGACACTACTACTACTGACACTACTACTACTACTGACACTACTACTACTACTGACACTACTACTACTGACACTACTACTACTACTGACACTACTACTACTGACACTACTACTACTGACACTACTACTGACACTACTACTACTGACACTACTACTACTGACACTACTACTACTACTGACACTACTACTACTACTGACACTACTACTACTGACACTACTACTACTGACACCACTACTACTGACACTACTACTACTGACACTACTACTACTGACACTACTACTGACACTACTACTACTGACACTACTACTACTACTGACACTACTACTACTGACACTACTACTACTACTAACACTACTACTACTACTGACACTACTACTACTACTGACACTACTACCACTACTGACACTGCTACTACTACTGCTACTACTACCACTACTACTGACACTACTACTACTGACACTACTACTACTACTGACACTACTACTGACACTACTACTGACACTACTACTACTACTACTACTGACACTACTACTACTACTGACACTACTACTACTACTGACACTACTACTACTACTGACATTACTAATACTACTGACACTACTACTGACACTACTACTACTACTAACACTACTACTACTACTGACACTACTACTACTACTGACACTACTACCACTACTGACACTACTACTACTACTGCTACTACTACCACTACTACTGACACTACTACTACTGACACTACTACTACTACTGACACTACTACTGACACTACTACTGACACTACTACTACTGACACTACTACTACTGACACTACTACTACTACTGACACTACTACTGACACCACTACTACTACTACTAACACCACCACCACCACTACTGACACTACTAACACCACCACTACTACTGACACCACCACCACTACTACTACTGACACTACTAACACCACCACTACTACTGACACTACTACTACTGACACTACTACTACTGACACTACTACTACTGACACTACCACTACTACTACTACAGACACCACTATTACTGACACTACTACTGACACTACTATTACTACTGACACTACCACTACTACTACTGACACTACTACTACTGACACTACTACTACTGACACTACTACTACTACTGACACTACTACTACTGACACTACTACTACTGACACTACTACTACTGACACTACTACTACTACTGACACTACTACTGACACCACTACTACTGACACTACCACTACTGACACTACTACTACTGACACTACTACTGACACTACTACTACTACTACTGACACTACCACTACTGACACTACTACTACTGACACTACTACTACTACTGACACTACTACTACTACTGACACTACTACTACTGACACTACTACTACTACTACTGACACTACTACTACTACTACTGACACTACTACTACTGACACCACTACTACTGACACCACTACTACTGACACTACTACTTCTGACACTACTACTGACACTACTACTACTGACATTACTACTACTACTGACACTACTACTACTGACACCACTACTACTGACACTACTACTACTATTGACACTACTACTGACACTACTACTACTACTACTGACCTACTACTACTGACACTACTACTACTACTACTGACACTACTACTACTGACACTACTACTACTACTGACACTACTACTACTGACACCACTACTACTGACACCACTACTACTGACACTACTACTACTACTGACACCACTACTACTACTGACACTACTACTACTGACAACTACTACTGACACTACTACTACTGACACTACTACTACTGACACTACTACTACTGACACTACTACTAACACTACTACTACTACTACTGACACTACTACTACTACTGACATTACTAATACTACTGACACTACTACTGACACTACTACTACTACTGACACTACTACTGACACTACTACTACTACTGACACTACTACTACTGACACTACTACTACTACTGACACTACTACTACTGACACTACTACTACTACCACTACTACTACTGACACCACTACTACTGACACTACTACTACTGACACTACTACTACTACTGACACTACTACTACTACTGACACTACTACTACTACTGACACTACTACTACTGACACTACTACTACTACTGACACTACTACTACTACTGACACTACTACTACTGACACTACTACTACTACTGACACTACTACTACTACTGACACTACTACTACTGACACCACTACTACTGACACCACTACTACTACTGACACTACTACTACTGACACTACTACTACTGACACTACTACTACTACTACTGACACTACTACTACTACTGACACTACTACTACTGACACTACTACTACTACTGACACTACTACTACTGACACTACTACTACTGACACTACTACTGACACTGCTACTGCCGCTGCTGCTGCAGGTGGAGCGTCTGCTACGGGACCTGGTGCTGTCGGACGAGCAGCTGCTGAGCGTGTCGCAGCGTCTGGCGGGGAGATGGAGCGCGGCCTGAGCCGTCAGAGCCACGCCGGCGCTACGGTGAAGATGCTGCCCACGTTTGTGAGGTCCACCCGGACGGCACGGGTACACGGAGACACGTGCACCGCCACCAGCGCCGACACCACCGCCACTACTGACACCAGCGCCTAGACCACCACCACCAGCGCCGACACCACCGCCACTACTGACACCAGCGCCGACACCACCACCACCACTACCGCCGACACCAGCACAGACACCGCTGTCGCCACCGCTGACACCACGCCGACACCACCACCACTACCACTACTGCCACCACCGCCACCACCACTACCACCACTACCACCACCATCACTACTGCCACCACCACCATCACTACTACCACCATCACTACCACCACCACTACCACCACCGCTACCACCACTGCTACCACCACTACCACCATCGCTACTACCACCACTACCACTACTGCCACCACCACCACCACTACCACCACCATCACTACCACCACCACTACACACTGCCACACCACCACGCCACCACCACTACCACCACCCCTACCACTACTACCACCACAACCACTACCACCACTGCCACCACTACCACTGCCACCACTACCACTGCCACCACTACTACACTACCACTACTACCACCGCCACCACCACTACCACCACCACTACCATCACCACTACCACCACCACTACCACTACTGCCACCACCGCCACCACCACTACCACCATCCTACTACCACCAACACCACTACCACTACTGCCACCACCGCCACCACCACCACCGCCACTGCCGACACTACCACCACCACCACCACCAGCTGGGCAGTCGGCCAGCCGGCTCCTCTCCTCTCTCTCCTCCCTCCCCAAGTGATCCACCAACCCCTCTAGGCAACTCGCCAAGACAAACCCTGGGCAGTGAGAGAGTGGTGGGTGAGTGAGTGGATGAGTGAATGAGTGGGTGAGTGGGTGAGTGGGTGAGTGAGTGGTGAGTGGGTGAGTGAGTGGGTGAGTGGGTGGGTGAGTGAGAGTGGTGAGTGGGTGAGTGGGTGGGTGAGGGAGTGAGTGATGGGTGGGTGAGGGAGTGAGTGGGTGAGGGAGTGAGTGAGTGAGTGGGTGAGGGAGTGAGTGGGTGAGGGAGTGAGTGGGGTGGGTGAGTGAGTGGGTGAGTGGGTGGGTGAGGGAGTGAGTGGTGAGTGGTGTGAGTGAGGGAGTGAGTGGGTGGGTGAGTGGGTGGGTGAGGGAGTGAGTGGGTGGGTGAGTGAGTGGGTGGGTGGGTGGGTGAGTGAGTGAGTGGGTGAGTGGGTGAGTGGGTGAGTGAGTGGGTGTGTGGGTGAGTGAGTGGTGGGTGGGTGAGTGAGTGGTGTGGTGGGTGAGTGAGTGAGTGAGTGGGCGAGTGAGTGGACAAGCGAATGAGTGAGTGAGTGAATGAGTAAGTGAGCGAGTGAGTGAATGAGTGAGTGAGTGGTGAGTGTTGTGGGTGAGTGAGTGAGTGAGTGGGTGAGTGAGTGAGTGGGTGGGTGAGTGAGTGAGTGGTGAGTTGGCGAATGAGTGAGTGAATGAGTGAGTGAGTGAGCGAGCGAGTGAGCGAGCGAATGAGTGAGTGAATGAGTGAGTGAATGAGTGAGTGAGTGAATGAGTGAGTGAGTGGGTGAATGAGTAAGTGAGCGAGTAAGTGAGCGAGTGAGTGAGTGAGTGAACGAGCGAACGAACGAGCGAGCGGACTTAGTCAAACAAAAACGATGTTGTTCCTCTGCTCTTCTGCCTCCCCCCGTGCCCCCCACCCCCGTGCCCCCCACCCCCGTGCCCCCCACCCCCCGTGCCCCCCACACTCCACACCTTCCGCAGAGAGTGGAGACTTCCTGGCGCTGGACCTGCGGCACCAACTTCCGGGTGCTGCGCGTGACGGCGATGCCCACGGACGGTCGGCGTCGGGTGGAGATGCAGAGCGAAGTTTACCCCATCCCTACACTCGCCATGCAGGGGTCAGGCCGCCAGGTGGCTAACACACAATATACACTACACTATACACTACACTATACACTACACTATACACTACCTATACTACACACGAATTTACCCCATCCCTACACTCGCCATGCAGGGGTCAGGCCGCCAGGTGGCTAACACACAATATACACTACACTATCACTACACTATACACTACACTATACACTACACTACACTATACACTACACACGAAGTTTACCCCATCCCTACACTCGCCATGCAGGGGTCAGGCCGCCAGGTGGCTAACACACAATATACACTACACTATACACTACACTATACACTACACTATACACTACACTATACACTACACTATACACTATACACTACACTATACACTACACACGAAGTTTACCCCATCCCTACACTCGCCATGCAGGGGTCAGGCCGCCAGGTGGCTAACACACAATATACACTATACACTACACTATACACTACACTATACACTATACACTACACTATACACTATACACTACACTATACACTACACTATACACTACACACTATACACTACACTATACACTACACTATACACTACACTATACACTACACACTATACACTACACTATACACTACACTATACACTACACACGAAGTTTACCCCATCCCTACACATGCCATGCAGGGGTCAGGCCGCCAGGTGGCTAACACACTATACACTACACTATACCTACACTATACACTACACTATACACTACACTATACACTACACTACACTATACACTACACACGAAGTTTACCCCATCCCTACACTCGCCATGCAGGGGTCAGGCCGCCAGGTGGCTAACACACTATACACTATACACTACACTATACACTACACTATACACTATACACTACACTATACACTATACACTACACTATACACTACACTATACACTACACACTATACACTACACTATCACTACACTATACACTACACTATACACTACACACTATACACTACACTATACACTACACTATACACTACACACGAAGTTTACCCCATCCCTACACATGCCATGCAGGGGTCAGGCCGCCAGGTGGCTACACACTATACACTACACTATACACTACACTATACACTACACTATACACTACACTATACACTACACTACACTATACACTACACACGAAGTTTACCCCATCCCTACACATGCCATGCAGGGGTCAGGCCGCCAGGTGGCTAACACACTATACACTACACTATACACTACACTATACACTATACACTACACTATACACTACACACGAAGTTTACCCCATCCCTACACATGCCATGCAGGGTCAGGCCGCCAGGTGGCTAACACACTATACACTACACTATACACTACACTATACACTACACTATACACTACACACGAAGTTTACCCCATCCCTACACATGCCATGCAGGGGTCAGGCCGCCAGGTGGCTAACACAATACACTATACACTACCTATACACTACACTATACACTACACTATACACTACACTATACACTACACTATACACTACACTACACACTATACCTACACTATACACTACACACGAAGTTTACCCCATCCCTACACTCGCCATGCAGGGGTCAGGCCGCCAGGTGGCTACCACAATATACACTACACTATACACTACACTATACACTACACTATACACTACACTATACACCTACCTATACACTACACTATACACTATACTACACTATACACTACACACGAAGTTTACCCCATCTCTACACATGCCATGCAGGGTCAGGCCGCCAGGTGGCTAACACACACTATACACTACACTATACACTACACTATACACTACACTATACACTACACTATACACTACACTATACACTACACTATACACTACACTATACACTATACACTACACTATACACTACACTATACTATACACTATACACTACACACTACACTATACACTACACTATACACTACACACAAGTTTACCCCATCCCTACACATGCCATGCAGGGGTCAGGCCGCCAGGTGAGTAACACACAATACACTACACTATACACTACACACTATACACTACACTATACACTACAATATACACTACACTATACACTACACTATACACTACACTATACACTACACTATACACTACTATACACATACACTACACTATACACATACCTATACACATACACTACACTATACACTACACTATACACTACACTACACTATACACTACACGAAGTTTACCCCATCCCTACACATGCCATGCAGGGGTCAGGCCGCCAGGTGAGTAACACACAATATACACTACACTATACACTACACTATACACTACACTATACACTACACTATACACTACACTATACACTACACTATACACTATACACTACACTATACACTACACTATACACTACACTATACACTACACACGAAGTTTACCCCATCCCTACACTCGCCATGCAGGGTCAGGCCGCCAGGTGGCTAACACACAATATACACTATACACTACACTATACACTACACTATACACTACACTATACACTACACTATACACTACACACGAAGTTTACCCCATCCCTACACATGCCATGCAGGGTCAGGCCGCCAGGTGGCTAACACACTATACACTATACACTACACTATACACTACACTATACACTATACTACACTATCACTACACTACACACTATACTACACTATACACTACACACGAAGTTTACCCCATCCCTACACATGCCATGCAGGGGTCAGGCCGCCAGGTGGCTAACACACACTATACACTACACTATACACTACACTATACACTACACACGAAGTTTACCCATCCCTACACATGCCATGCAGGGGTCAGGCCGCAGGTGGCTAACACACAATATACACTACACTATACACTACACTATACACTACACTATACACTACACTATACAATATACACTACACTATACACTACACTATACACTACACTATACGTTTACCCCATCCCTACACATGCCATGCAGGGGTCAGGCCGCCAGGTGGCTAACACACAATATACACTACACTATACACTACACTATACCTACACACTATACACTACACTATACACTACACTATACACTATACACTACACTATACACTACACTATACACTACACTATCACTACATTATACACTATACACTACAATACACTACACTATACACTACACTATACACTACACTATACACTACACTATACACTACACTATACACTACACACACACACTACACTCCCCATCCCTACACATGCCATGCAGGGGTCAGGCCGCCAGGTGGCTAACACACAATATACACTACACTATACACTACACTATACACTACACACTATACACTACACTATACACTACACTATACACTATACACTACACTATACACTACACTATACACTACACTATACACTACATTATACACTATACACTACAATATACACTACACTATACACTACACTATACACTACACTATACACTACACTACACACATTATACACTATACACTACAATATCACTACACTATACACTACACTATACACTACACACGAAGTTTACCCCATCCCTACACATGCCATGCAGGGGTCAGGCCGCCAGGTGGCTAACACACATATACACTACACTATACACTACACTATACACTACACTATACACTACACTATACACTACACTATACAATATACAACACTATACCTACACTATACACTAAACTATACAATATACACTACACTATACACTACACTATACACTACACTATACACTACACTATACACTACACTATACAATATACACTACACTATACACTACACTATACACTACACTATACACTACACTATACACTACACTACACACTACACTACACACTACACTATACACTACACTATACACTACACTATACACTACACTATACACTACACTATACACTACTATATACTACACTATACACTACTATACACTACACTATACACTACACTATACACTACACTACATACTACACTATACACTACACTATACACTACACACTATACACTACACTATACACTACACTATACACTACACACTATACACTACACTATACACTACACACGAAGTTTACCCCATCCCTACACATGCCATGCAGGGGTCAGGCCGCCAGGTGGCTAACACACAATATACACTACACTATACACTACACTATACACTACACTATACACTACACTATACACTACACACACACACTACACTACACACTATACACTACACACTATACATACACACACTATACACTATACTACACTACACTATACACTACACTATACTACACTATACACTACACTATACACTACACTATACACTACATTATACACTACACACGCATACACATACACTACACTATACACTACACAAATACACTACACACTACACTATACACATACACTACACTATACACTACACTATACACTACACTATACACTACACACTACACTATACACTACTACACTATACACTACACTATACACTACTATAACACACTATACACTACACTATACACTACACTATACACTACTAACATTATACTATACACTACACTATACACTACACTATACACTACACTATACACTACACTATACACTATACACTACACTATACACTACACTATACAATACACTACACTATACACTACACTATACACTACACTATACACTACACTACACACTATACACTACACTATACACTACACTATACACTACACACTACACTATACACTACACTATACACTAACTATACACTACACTATACACTACATTATACACTATACACTACAATATACACTACACTATACACTACACTATACACTACACACGAATTTACCCCATCCCTACACATGCCATGCAGGGGTCAGGCCGCCAGGTGGCTACACACATATACACTAACTATACACTACACTATACACTACACTATACACTACACTATACACTACACTATACACTATACACTACACTATACACTACACTATACACTACACTATACAATATACACTACACTATACACTACACTATACACTACACTATACACTACA